GTCTGCCCTCAGGGATCCCCAGTCTAAAGGGCCATCCAGCCCCTGACATCAGGGAGTCCTCAGTCTGATGACGGAGGCACGGCCCCTGGCCCCAAGTGTTCCCCAGCCTGATAAGGAGATCCAAGCTGTGTCCTTACAGAGCCCCCAGCCTGGTAAACTTGTCCCAGATGCTCCACTGAGGGAGGAGACAAGGCCCCTGGCAGCCCCCAGCTGGGCTGAGGGGTTCGGTTGGAAGACCTCGGGACAACTAAATGGTCTGAGGGCGTTTCAGACTGCCTTGAAGGGCAGTGGATGGGGGAGACCAAAGGGTTGGAGTGTGAGTAGGACCTGGCCGTTTGGGGTCTGGGCAGAGTGGGGGACAGGTTTCTTCAGAGGACTCTCCTGTGAGTGTGTGCATGGCAAGAGTGGGAGGCCAGAGCACTTCATCGTGACGGTGGGGGGGGGGGGCGTCACCATGGGGACACTGCTCGCCCATGAGGCAGAGGTGACGTCTTCTTTGCCAGAGGAAGCTGGATGGACCCCTTGCCCTTATGAGGACCAAGGGGGCACAGAAGTATCTGGCAAGAGCAGTAGGGACCAGAGGGCTATTCCAAAGAATTAAGGTTTGGGAGGAAATCTGTTAGCAAAGTCCTAGCTGAGGAGAGCAGCCAGGTTACTGGGGAAGGCGGAAAGGAGAGCTGAGGCGGCAGAGTGTGCATGAGGGTGAAATGAAGTTATTAAAATGAATCCATCCCTGGTGCAGGCAGAACTGTGTGCCAGGCAGGCCAGGCCCTCCAGCTGTCGGCAGCATCTGGCTCTCCACAGGAGGAGAGGAGCAGGAGGGGGGTCAAAGTGCCCCCAGGTGCCTGCTGAGAGTTCAGCCAGGGCAGGCAGGGAGGGCACCCAGGGCCTCTGGCCCCATTGTTCCCTCCTTCCTGCAGTCTCCACAGCACTGTGGGAGGCTGAATGGCATCCAGTGGGCATCCATGGGTGGGCTGCTCCAGTGCCAGCAGCCTCAAGCCTCCAGGGTGGGGAGTGGAGGGTGGTCTGGAGGTGGGGTGTGTCTCTCACGTCTCTGTCTCTGCTCAGGAGAGACGGCCCCTCAAAGTATGGTGTGGGGGAAACACGCTGGGTCACTTCTTACAAGGTGGGCTGTAACCAGATGGCTTCTCAGCCCCGCCTAGCTCTGTGCTGCAGTATGAGGGGACCGGTTTGCGCTGAGTGCTGGTGGGTAGGGGTGAAAGGTGGGGGCTGGCAAGACCATCTTACTTTGCTACCAGGACTCTCCTCTCCTCAAGAGGGCCCCAAGGGCCCTGAGTGCTGCCCTCCCAAGAGAACTGACTTAGAATGACCTCCAGAAGGCACTGTGACCTTGGTAGTGTCTTTCCTTCACAGAGCCCCAAAGGGCCCAAGTAACTCCCAGAGGAGGTGCCACTGGCAGCCCGCCATTCTGAGGCCTCTTACTAGCTGTGGGAGGGGAGCGACTGATGCAGGCCCTGTGTCCACACCCACTCCAGCCTGTTCCTTCACTGGCATGTGGTCAGACTGCAAACCCAATACAATACCCCGGAATCTCTGAAAGGCCCCCTCCCTAGGAGAAGCAGATGGAAATTACAGCTGGGAGAGCACCTCCGAGGTATCTCCCCATCCTGCGGAGCCATAGCCAGAGATGAACTTCAAGGTCCTTTGAGTGGGTCTCCCAGCGTGGGCCCTGGAGCAGCAGCATCAGCACAGACCTGGGCACTCATTAGAAATTCTGATTCTTAGGCCCCACCCAAGCCTGCTGAATTAGAAACGTGGGTAGGACCCAGAAATCTGTGTGTCAGCAAACCCTCTGGGTGATCTGCATTTGAGAACCCCTGGTCTGGGCAAGCCCTTCGTGTTATAGAGGAAGAAACAAAGAAAGCCAGAGAGGAGAATGGACATGGCCAAGGCCACGCAGCAAAATGACGGGGCTAGGACCCTGCTGGGTCTGCAGATGGCAGTTCAGGGAGGACACCAAGGAACACCCTCATTGGCCCATTCTACCTGCTAGCTCTCCCTCCTCGAGCTGTTCTTGAAGATGCTACGCCCTCCTCCAGCACCAAGCCCAGCGGGTTTACTCAGGTTTCCTCGTGTGGGATCAGACAGCTTGGAACAGGGGCTGGAAAGGGAAGCCCTGAGCCCTCAGCAAGCATCAGCTCCAAGGGCCGTTGGAGCCCTGCCACTTGGGTCTCCAGCAAATGTCCTGTGGCCATCAGAGAAATTCTTGCTGGACCAAGGGATGCCTGAGGCCGTTTCCTTGGACAACTCTGACTCCAGTGCCCCGGGGCAAGCTTTATTTCCTGCTCCAAGAACATGGTTCTGCACACAAAAGTCAATCAGTGGTTTCACAAGACTTCCCTCCCCTCCCCCCACCCACAGATAGACACACAGAACAGATCCAGCACATGCTCTGCGGCCTGGCCCCGCCCCACCCATGCCCGCTGCTGAGAGGGCAGCGCCATCCAGATCCGGGAGAACCCCAGTCTGACAGGCGAGGCTGACTGTTGAGGGACCCTCTCCAGGACATGGATGCTCCCAGAGGAGCCAGCAGAGGGTGGGGTGGAAGAGGGACACACAGCACATGGATGGGCTGTGGCCTTAGTGCTGGGAGAACCACCATCGTCCTGTCTCAGCTTAAGGATGGGTGTGCCATCAGCAATGGGTGGTAGAGGGGAAGCGCTGGCAGAAGAGGGAATTTTGGAAAGGGGTGGCCTGGCTGGAGACAGAAGGTCAATCTGTCAAGACATCAAAGACCCCAGGGTCACCACTTCAGCCTCATGCCATGCTCAGCACAGGACAAGGGGCTCAGGGCTGCCCACTAGACAGGGCTGGAGAGCTCCTCTGGCCCCACCCCACCCTCCTGACTGGCTCCTAGGAAGCCCTGTCTCAGCCATCCATCCTAAGTTGACAGGCTGTCCACACTGATGAAATCTCCCCATCCCTGTCGCTGTCCTTCCTCAGGATGGCAAGAACCAAGGGCTTAGGTTCCTCCCATGACTCTGGGACCACACTGATCGGCCTGCCCACAGGCCTCGGGGATCCAGCATCTCTGTGGCTCCGTGGCAAACCCCTGTGAGGCTGCACAGAGAGCCCGCTCCTCCTCCAGTGCTCCTGTGATCTAGTCACACCACAGCTTCGGGTTGGGGCCAGCACTTGGGACCCTTTCTCTGCCACTTGAGACTTGGCCCTGGCCCCACTTGGCATCTCTTCCTCTCCACCCCCCTCCCTGCCTGAGGCCCAACCCCTTCCCTGCCCGGTGTCCGGATGGTCTCCTGCATGGGCAGGCCTGTCCTTCCAGCCCTGGCCTGGCCTCTGTGGCCTGCCCCCGGTCACCCAGACGGGTAGTAGGGGGTATCACTATGGTAGTTGTAATCTGGGCACACCTTCTGGACCAGCCGATAGTCCGTGCTGTAGAAGGCGATGTAGACACAGACGACTTTGAAGGGCTGGGAGCAGCTCCAGGTGGCTGAGCTCTGAGCGTGATCTCGGGAGCAGATCTTGGCTGGGTCGTGGGTGCAAAGCGAGGTCCGGCGGCCCCGTTCTACCTTCTCCCACTCCATCCGGCAGTTGAAGATTTTGGAGGCCTTGGCTTCAATGAAGATCTGCTGTTCCTGGTGGAACTCTACAGCTTTACTGGGGGGCACGAGGCTGATGGAGATGTTGCCCTGGCCTGTGGCATTATGTCGGAAGTGGACGCTGAAGGTCCCGTTGCCATGGTCCACAATCTTCCCTGTGACTAGCAGGTTCAGGGCCACCGTCTTGATGTTGGAGTAGAAGTCGCCCCAGCCAAAGATTTTCTTCACCTTGGCTGAGGGTGGGGGACTGTGGTTCGGGCGGTTGGGGGGCTGCCCAAGAATGCCCCAAGCCTCCCCAGGTGGGGCCAGCAGCCCTAGGACAGTGGCATTGGCCATGGGGCGGGACTTAGGTGAGATGTGGCCCCGCTTCCGAGGCACCCGGGGCCGGGGCTGGCCCTTGTGGTCATCACGCTCAGGGTCCTCTGAGCCGGGAGGACCATCATCCTGGCCACAGATGACCTATGGAGGGAGTTGTGAGTACAGTAAGAGCCCTGTCCCTGGAGGTCCACCACCCCCACCACCAGCAGCACCCCTGTCCCTGCCACTTCACTCTGACCTGGGTGAAGAGCTCCTGCATGTTGTCCACTGAAGCTGGGGGGCAAGTGTACACTCTAGCTTGTGTGCATCTCAGGTTCTGAGAGTTGGGTCAGCCTGCCCCCCATGTCCTTTCCTCACTGTCTTGTCTTGGCCACTATTCAAAGTCTCAAAGACTGACAGTAATTCTCTCCAGTGGACTGTGGCACCAGGGACAATGGCTCCTACCCCTAGGGAGTCCCCAGTCTGATGGGGGAAGCCCAGCTTCTGATCTTGGGGAGCCCCCATCTAATTGCAGAAGTATCATCCCTGTGCTGACAGAGCCCCCAGTTTGATAGGAGGTAGGATCTCTGCCTCTGTGAAATCCCCAGGCTGATGGGGGAGGCATAGTCTCCGCTCTCAAAGAGCCCTGAGTCAGATAGGGGAGCACCATCCTTATCCTGGGAGAGCCCCTGGTTTGACAGGAGAGGCTAGCCCCTGCCTTTTGGGACTTCCTAGTCTGTTGGGTAAGACACTGTTCCTACCCTAGGATAATTTCTACCCTTGGATGCAAAGAGAACCACCAGACAATGGAATAAGAAAGCAGAACACAGTATAATTCTCAAGCATGAATATAGTTTAGGTTTGGCAAGAGGACTAGGGGAGACCCGAGTGAATGCCACACTCAGGATGGCCATGGGAATGGAAAGCCAAACACCTCTCCAGGGGACACTGAGGATGACATGCCAAGATGTTACTTGGATTCAGAGGTAGGAGTTCTTATCCCCATTTCACAGATAAGGACACTGGGGCTCAGAGTTTAACACTACAAGGCTGAGTTCACATAGGGTCAGCCCTTCCGTTACACTGCACACTCCTGGCCTCACAGATCAGATGTGTCTTTTTGAAAGGGTTTTTATCCAGGCGCCATCCGCCTCTGGAATCTGCAGGGGCTCATCCTCCCTCTGCTGGATCAGCTATGGTGACAACCCACACCTGGGGAGATTCCTGGAGGCGCCACAGGGAGAGTGGGACAGCAGTGGAGGGCATCAGGGGGTTGACAGGGCTTCCTGAGGGCGCAGCCTGGCTGCGTGTTTGCTCAGCATTTGAAAGCAACCACTCTCCCTAGGTGTCTTTACTACCAGCACCAGGGGCATCTGGATTTGGCGGTGACACTGGGGTGGGGACAGTAGGGCTCCAAGGGGCTGTGGGCTCCTCATGCCTGTGTTCTGGTCTGGGTGGTGCCGGCAGCTGTGTGCTGTGGCCGAGTCTGTCTCTGCCCCACAGTTCAGGCTGGCCCTGACTGCCAGGCCCCAGAGGTGGGGTAGAGGGACGGCCAGGAGGGGAGGCTCGGGGACTGGGTCCAGGGCTGCAGACCTGTAGGTACTTGTTCCTGGGGATCACGGCTGAGTGGCTGGAGGGTAAAGCTGGGGCCGTGAGAAGGGAAGGGCTCTTCCCGCCGTGGCATGGGGCGGTGGCAAGGGGCTTGTTGATTAAAGGGGCAGGTCCAGATGCGGGGCTGAGGCTTCTCCACGACAGTATTGCGGGGAGGGTTGGCGGGCGCTCGGTCGGAGGGGAGTTAAGCCCCTGGGCTGGGTTCGGGGAGGGGTTCCCCGGCGCCGTGGGTCGCCGAGAAGCCGCGGAGCCGGCGCACGGGGAGCGGGCTCTGGGCGCTCAGCTCAGCTGCTGCGAGCGCCCGGGGCGGGAGCCGCCTGCCCAGGTCCTGTGGGGCTCCGGCTGCGCGCAGCCGGGAGAGGAGAGGAAAACAACAGGCGGGGAGGGAGGGAGCGGGAGGGAAGGCGGGAGGGAGGGACGCGGGGGCCGCCCCCCGCCTGGACCGGCTCCGCGCTCTGGGGGACCCAGAACCCGGGGCTCTCAGAGTACCGGAGGTCAGGGGAAAAGCCTGCAGGTCACGACCCGCGCCCCACTCGCCCCCACTTCCACGGTCCTGAGGCTCCGGGAAGGGGTCGGGTAACCCTGGCGACCCTGCTCCGGGCCTTTTTCCGAGCGCCGGTCGCACCTCCAGCCACCCGCCGCGGAGTGGGTGGGCCAGCCAAGCACCCTCTTCCCGCCCCTATTAACCCTATCTGTCCAGTCTCCGGCCTCGGACCCGCCCTCTCCCCCAGCCTCCAGTCTTCCCCGCCATCCCCGGGATGTCGGGGGAAGGGAGAAAGTTTCAGGGCTCGCAAGCTTCCCGCGCTCTCCCCTGATCCTCCGGGCCCCCGCCCCTCTGCGCAGCTCCCCGCGGACCACTCACCAGATAGAGGCTACCCTGCACCAGGAACACGAAGCAGCAGCGAGTCAGTTGCATCTTCCTCCTCCGCTCTCGTCCCCTCGTTCTCCTCTTCTCTTTACGGGGTCCCAGGCCGCTTCGTCCCCTTCCTGCTCCTTCA